CTTCAGTCATAGAGTTGTCAGAAAGTGGAACAGTCTGGAGAGTGATGTAGTGGAGGCAGGATCCATACATAGCTTTAAGAAGAGATACGACAAAGCTCATGGAGCAGGGAGAGAGAGGACCTAGTAGCGACCAGTGAAGAGGCTTGGCCAGGAGCTGTGTCTTGACCCCTGTTACCATAGTTAGGTGAGAATTAAGCAAGTACACTCACACTCACACACAAATAGTTGAGTGCAAATAGGTGAGTACACACACACACACACACACACACACGCACACATATTAGGCGAGTACACACACACACACACACACACACACGGGTTATGTAGCACATTAAGATGTCATCTGTTTCTTGTAATATAATGTGTGTGCGTGTGTGTGTACTCACCTATTTGTGGTTTCTGGGGTCGATTCACAGCTCCTGGCTCCACCTCTTCGCTGGTCGTCATTAGGTCCACTCTCTCCCTGCTCCAAGAGCTTTATCGTACCTCTCCTCAAAACTATGCATAGATCCTGCCGCCACTAGATCACTCTTCAGACTGTTCCACTTCTTGACAACTCCATGACTTAGGAAATGCTTCCTAACATACCTGTGACTCATCTGAGTTTTCCACTCCCAGTTATGATCCCTTGTTGCTGTTTCACATCCCTGAAACATTTTGTCCCTATGCAACTTTTCACTTCCTCACAGTATTTTATATATCGTTATCATGTCATTCTTATCCCTCCTGTACTCCAGTGTCATGAAGTTGATTTCTCTTAACTTCTCCTTATAGGACATACCCCTTAACTCTGGAACTAGTCATGTTGCAAACCTTTGCACTTTCTTTAATTAGGATTCCATACTGGTGCTGCATACTCCAGTATGGGCCTGATGTACACGGTATGCAATGTTTTTAATTATTCCTCACTCAGGTTTCGAAACGTTATTCGTAGGTTTGCCAGGCAACCATATGTTGCAGCAGTTATTGTGTGCTTCAGGAGATGTGCTCGGTATGATAGTTACCTTAAAATCCTTTTCCTTGAGTAAGGTTTGCAGCCTTTGGCCCCCTAGCCTGTACTTCCTCTGTGGTCTTTGACCCTCCCCAATCTTTATGACTTTGGACTTGGTGGGGTTAAACTTCAGGAGATAGTTGTTGAACCAGGCTTGCAGCTTGTCCAGATCTCTTTGTAGTCTTACCTGATGCTCATCCGTTTAAATTCGCAGCATTAACTTCACAACGTCTGCAAATAGGGACACCTCTGATTCTCTTCCTTCCGTCGTGTCATTCACATATACCAGAAACAGTACCGGTGCTAGGACTGCCCCTTGAGGAACCCCCTCGTCACAGATGCCCACTATGACACCTTATCATGTACCATCACTCGTTGTTTCCTTATTTTCAGGTATTCTCTTATCCATTTCAGTGCTTTCCTGTTATTCCTGCCTGCTCCTCTAGCTTTTGCACAGGATTTCCCTTCCCTGAAATTGTGCTAGTTGTCGTGTATAAGCTCATGCCTTTCTAGGTGTTCCACTACTCTTCTGGTAATCTTCTCCATGATTTTACATACTCTACATGTCAGTGACAATGGTCTGTAGTTTAATGCTGCTTGTCTGTCTCCTTTCTTAAAAATTGGGACTACATTTGCTGTCTTCTACATCTCAGGTAGTTGCCCTTGTTTCGATAGATGTGTTAAAGACTGATATTAGTGGCACACTCAGTGTTTCTGCTCCCTCTCTGGGAACCCATTGAGAGATGTTATTCGGCCCCATCGCCTTTGAGATATCTTGTTCACTTAGGAGCCTCTGCATTTCCTTCTCTGCTGCGTGTAGTGTGTCCAGCACTTTTTAGCGTACCCTACCATTCAGGTTTGCTGGAGTCCTTCCTGTTTCTAATGGAAATACTTCTTTAAATTTCATGTTGAGCTCTTCACACACTTAAGAACATAAGACTATAGGAATCGAGGAACACTGCAGCAGGCATACTGTCCCATACAAGACAGATCCTTATCAAAACCACCCATATATTTGTCCAGTCTTTTCCCCACCGTACCCAGGCACCATTCAGACCCAGCCTCTCCCACTCATATATTTGTTCAATCTCTTTTTAAACTTACCCAGGATCTTAGCCTCTATTATCCTACTTGGAAGATTGTTCCACGCATCGAAAACTGTTTGAAAACCAGTATATATACTTATATATGTCCTTTGTGAATCTAAATTTATCAAATTTAAATCCGTTATTTCTGGTTCTTACATGATTCGATATCCTCACTATTTTATTAATATCGTCTTTGTTAATACCTACCATCCACTTATACACCTTAGTGATATCTCCTTCCATTCTACGTCTCTCAAAAGAGTGAAGATCCAAGGCTTTAAGTCTAAATTCATCTAAGAGATTCCCTATACAGTGAATCAACTGTGTCACCCTTCCCTGTAGTTCTCCAATGAATTTATATACATTCTGTAGTAAGGAGATCAAAATTGAACAGCATAATCTAAGTGACTCATTGCTAGTGATGTATAGAGCTGTAAAATAACTTTTCGACTTCTTGATCGTTTCTTGTGATCTTCCTTCCTTCCTTTCTCAGCCTAATTACCTTGTCCCTAACTGTTGCATTTCTCCAGAAGTGGCTGTACAACAGCTTTGGGTCATATTTGGCTTTCCATACTATATCATTCTCGTGTTGCCGCTGGGCCTCCCTCTTTATCTGTTCATATTCGTTCCCGGCTCCTCGACTAATCTCTATATTTTCCTGGGTCCTTTGTCTTCTATACTTTTTCCATTCTCTAGTGCACTTAGTTTTGGCCTCTCTGCACCTTTGGATAAATCAAGGACTCGTTCTGATCTTTCCATTTTTTTTTATTACTCTTGGTTATGAAACTCTCCTCTGCCTCCTTGCATTCTGTGGTCATGTATTCCATTATTTCATTCACTGTTTTTCCCACCAGTTCTATTTGCCACTGTACCTCAAGCTAGAAATTCTTCATGCCTGTGCAGTCCCCTCTTTTATAATGTGGCTTCCACCACCTATTCATCCTGCTTCCCTCTCCACTTTTAGCTCTAAAATGTTTTCGAAGCTCAAAACCATGTGACCACTAGCTCCAAGGGGCCTTTCATACGTGATGTAACCATTGTCTGAGCTTCTCAAGGTGAATATGAGATTCATTCTCTCTCTCTCTCTCTCTCTCTCTCTCTCTCTCTCTCTCTCTCTCTCTCTCTCTCTCTCTTGTAGTATCCCTAACGTTTTGATTCCCGAAGTTTTCCAGTTCCACCTCCATCATCTTCACCCTCCACATTTCTGGTCCTACATGTTGCTCGAAGCTTTCTCTGTCAATCTCTTTGTGATTGAAATTACCCACAACTAATAATTTTCATCGTACTCTTGTCTTGGTCTCCTTCTATTCAGTAGTGGGTTGTACATCATTGCAATCACCGCTTTGGGACACCCAATCTGAAGTGTTCTTTCTATTTAGTCTCTTGCTTCCCTTCTGTCCACTCCTTCCAACTCATCAAACTCCATCTTTCCTCATGATTCAATATCTAGTTGTAAAGATAGCGTCTGTTATCATTCCTGTGAGATTGGTTTTGGTGAGTGCTATGATGTCCATGATTCTTTCGTGCCTCTCCTCACACTCATTCATTATTCTGTTGGGGTTTGGGGGGCTGAAGGAGTGGGAGATCAGGGAGGACACTATGGGAGGCTGCTGTATAGGTGGAGTTTGTGCTGGGTGGTTTGTTTTGGGTAAATTTGTTTGGTTGTGATGAACTGTGGGTGGTTCTATGGATGGTTGTGTTTGCTGGTTCTCCCAACTCTGGGTGCCCTTGCCTGTCTCTAGCCTTGCCTTTCTTGTCCCTTGCATTTTTGTAGCCTCTCAGTTTCTGTTGTTCTGATCATGTTCTGTCATGGTCAAGGTACATCCACTTGTTTTCATTGTTTCTTTTAGTTGTGGTTTCTGCTTCAGGATCCTGTTCTGCGCTGTTTCTTTTCTGAAAATCAATTTGACTGGTCGATTTTTTCTCCTTGAGTACTCCCCAAAGTCTATGAAAATTTGATAGCTAAGTCATGTCCTCCTCTTCTGTTTGATGATATTTTCAATCACTTTTTTCTCTCCCTGTCATCTTTCTTCATGTGTCCTCCCTACAGCGTTCTGAAGCCCATAGATAAGAACTGACCTATCCATCTCCTCTTCCCATTGACTTTCCCTCCTTATCTCTGGGTCCGATTCAAGCATCGCCATTGCTGCTTCCCTTATCATTTCCTGGATCTCTCAGTGACCTGATAGTGCCTCTGCAGGGGACCTGTCACCTTCTCTACCTATTATCCCCTCTCTTAACATTGTCCCTGTACCAAATGGCATGTCACTGTCACTCGACATTTTCTGGACCTCTTTGTGGCTGCTAGAGCTTCTACATAGGTCTTATCCCCTTCCTTTGCCTTGGTCCCCTCACTGGATATGGGTGTGCCTTCTCCTGATGCCAAACCCCTTCTGTTCTTTGGCTCTGTATCCTCCTTCAGCATTCTCAGTTCATCTTTTAGGCTTTGTATCCTAGCTTCTGCAGCTTCAGCTTGCAGCTTCTACTTTTTGCCCTCTTCATCCACCCTCTCCTCTATTTTAGTGATAAGCTCTTCTAGCTTCCTTTTCCACTATTGTACCATCCTTATCTTAAGCTTTTCTGTCTATTCTTCCTTCCCAGACCAATCTTTCTCAGTTTTCCTTATTTTTTTGTCCTACTCTCCTGGGTCATTTTTTTTGATACGCTAGTTACCACACAATGTGTGTGTGGGCAGTATACATCTACGTTATGCTTGTGTGTGTACTCACTTAATTGTGGTTGCAGGGGTTGAGACATAGCTCCTGACCCAGCCTCTTCACTGGTCGCTACTAGGTCCACTCTCTCCCTTCCCCACGAGCTATATCGTACCTCTTCTTAAAGCTATGTATGGATCCTGCCTCCACTACGTTATTCTCAAGACGTGTGTGTGTGTGTCTGTCTGAAAACCTGACTACAGTACTCGTAAATTACATAAATTAAACACTTACATAGCCTTCTTTGTTGACGAAGGTGGTATAGAGCATACTGCACTGCAATGGTGTCCAGCAAATGACGAACACCAGCAGCACAACAGACACCATCTTCACCACTTTCTTCCTGGCTCTGGTAGCCGTGTTCCGTGCAGGGAGAGACTGCTCGCCCGGCTGCTGCTTCATCCATAGCCTCCACACCACCAGGCTGCAAACAACACAACCTTCATTATGGAAGCATTAGTGAGGTGTGGGTCAGTTTAGCGACATTATTAAAGTAAACCTGGGTTTAATATGTTGAGCAGCGAAAGCCTGCAATGTTTTACAGATACAGATTACTTTTATCCTTATAGTAACGACGCATCACTGGCTAATTTCTAAACTACGGATTCCTTGTCCTTGTTGCAACATTTCACTACCCATGCTTCATACCCATATAAGAGTGTTGGTATATATATATATATATATATATATATATATATATATATATATATATATATATATATATATATATATATATATATCGCGCCGAATAGGTAAAATTGGTCAATTAGCAAGAACTCATTTAAAATCAAATCCTTCCAAAATTTTCTCTTATACGTTTGTTAAAGATATACTTTTTTCATTTGTGTTAATGTAAAAATTATTAATTTTGTACCAAAAGAACCTTAGAAAACTTACCTAACCTTATTGTAAGAAACGCAATTTATTTTAGCCTAATCCAACTAAATATATTTTAGATAAGCTTACAATAATTTAATAATATACGAACACAATGAAATATATTCTTTTTCGTTAGGTTCAAAATGATTTTTGCGAAATTATTGCATACACAAATTTTCACTTGCATTATTCGGCAAGATGAGCGTTGCTATTTAAGCGCAAATAGCAAGTGAAATTGCCGACCTAGAAAATGAACAGAGAACTTTCACGGCACGCATAACGGAGATAAAACACCTCAATTACTGGGAGCGCTTGAGGTTCCTAAACCTATATTCCCTGGAACGCAGGAGGGAGAGATACATGATTATATACACCTGGAAAATCCTAGAGGGACTAGTACCGAACTTGCACACGAAAATCATTCACTACGAAAGCAAAAGACTTGGCAGACGATGCAACATCCCCCCAATGAAAAGCAGGGGTGTCACTAGCACGTTAAGAGACCATACAATAAGTGTCAGGGGCCCGAGACTGTTCAACTGCCTCCCAGCACACATAAGGGGGATTACCAACAGACCCCTGGCAGTCTTCAAGCTGGCACTGGACAAGCACCTAAAGTCAGTTCCTGATCAGCCGGGCTGTGGCTCTTACGTTGGTTTGCGTACAGCCAGCAGCAACAGCCTGGTTGATCAGGCTCTGATCCACCAGGAGGCCTGGTCACAGACCGGGCCGCTGGGGCGTTGACCCCCGGAACTCTCTCCAGGTAAACTCCAGGTAAATAGGAGGACATTTGGGTGTCAAGAAGACACTCGGTAAACTGGCAAAACATTTTACTTGGCCAAAGATGAAGGAAACAGTAGCTGATCATGTGCGAGGTTGCCACGTGTCAAGTGACAGGCAAGCCAGCGCACACACCTCCACCTGCACCTCTCATTCCTATCACCGTGGATGGTGAACCATTCTCACGTCTTATTATTGATCTTATTATTGATCTTATTATTGATCTCTGGCTGAAGGAGACTCGAACCTACAAACCTTATGACAAGGTACGCAGTGCTTTACGAATCCACCCACACTGGACAATACCTTGGCGTGTAGCTTGCGATACACGTTTGATCCAAGGCAGCCAGCTTTCAGGGAGAAGGCTTACAGCTTTTCATCTCATCCCCTGCATGCATCAGCCTTACTAGAGATTTGAACAATGCAAGGAATTCGCGAGAGCAGGCGAAATATACATAAACACTGATCTCTGGCTGAAGGAGACTCGAACCTACGAACCTTAGGACAAGGTACCCAGTGCTTTACCAATCTACCCACACTGGACAATACCTTGGCGTGTAGCTTGCGCTACACGTTTGATCCAAGGCAGCCAGCTTTCAGGGAGAAGGCTTACAGCTTCTCATCTCATCCCCTTCATGCATCAGCCTTACTAGAGATTTGAACAATGCAAGGAATTCGCGAGAGCAGGCGAAATATACGCAAACACTGATCTCTGGCCAAGGTATTGTCCAGTGTGGGTAGATTGGTAAAGCACTGCGTAACTTGTCCTAAGGTTCGTAGGTTCGAGTCTCATTCAGCCAGAGATCAGTGTTTGCGTACATTTCGCCTGCTCTCGCGAATTTCTTGCATTGTTCAAATCTCTAGTAAGGCTGATGCATGCAGGGGATGAGATTAAAAGCTGTAAGCGTTCTCCCTGAAAGCTGGCTGCCTTGGATCAAACGAGTAGCGCAAGCTACAGGCCAAGGTATTGTCCAGTGTGGGTAAATTGGTAAAGCACTGCGTAACTTGTCCTAAGGTTCGTAGGTTCGAGTCTCCTTCAGCCAGAGATCAGTGTTTGTGTATATTTCGCCTGCTCTCGCGAATTCCTTGCATATATATATATATATATATATATATATATATATATATATATATATATATATATATTATATATATATATATATATATATATATATATATGTGTGTGTGTGTGTGTCGTGCCGAATATGTAAAACTGGTCAATTAGGAAGAACTCATTTAAAATTAAGTCCTTTCTAAAATTTTCTCTTTTACGTTTAAAGATATATTTTTTTCATTAATGTTGATGTAAAAATTTATGATTTTGCACCAGAAGGAACTTAGAAAACTTACCTAACCTTATCATAACAAGAACAATTTATTTTAGCCTAACCCAACTAAATATATTTTAGATTTGTTTAGAATAATTTAATACTAAACAAACACAGTGAAATATATTTTTTTCGTTAGGTTCAGAATGATTTTGGCGAAATTATTGCATACACATATTTTCACTTGTCCTATATGGCAAGATGAGCGTTGCTATTTAAGCCAAGATAGCAAGTTCTGCCTATTCGGCACGACATATATATATATATATATATATATATATATATATATATATATATATATATATATATATATATAATATATATATATATATATATATATATGTGTGTGTGTGTGTGTGTGTGTGTGTATATATATGTATATGTCGTGCCGAATATGTAAAACTGGTCAATTAGCAAGAACTCATTTAAAATTAAGTCCTTTCCGAAATTTTCTCGTATACGTTTAAAGATATATTTTTTTCATTAATGTTAATGTAAAAAAAATTAATTTTGCACCAAAGGAATCTTAGAAAAATTACCTAACCTTATTATAACAAGAACAATTTATTTTAGCCTAACCCAACTAAATATATTTTAGATTTGTTTACAATAATTTAATACTAAACAAACACAGTGAAATATATTTTTTTCGTTAGGTTCAGAATGATTTTGGCGAAATTATTGCATACACAAATTTCCACTTGTCTTATATGGCAAGATGAGCGTTGCTATTTAAGCCAAGATCGCAAGTTCTGCCTATTCGGCACGACATATATATATATATATATAGGCCAAACATTCACAAAAATATGATACAAAGTAAAACAACATAGGTAACTCAGAGCTACATCTTGAATACTTCGTCCAGCTCCCCTGCGGTGGGCCGCGTGCCCAGAATGCTGCAGGCATTTCCTCTCTGGATCGCAACACTGAGTCTCTGAAAGAGGAAGCTGGTCGCCCTGTGGTCCTTGGTTTCTATGATGAGCTTTTCACCCAGCTCTTTGAGGAACTTTAGTGCACACTTGCCCCATACTCCAAGGGTCTCCGACCCTATTGGGATGAAGTTATAGCAAGGGGGAAGGTCTTCATATTTTCGGATCTTCTGGGTCTCCCTGTGGCTGGCAGCTCCACCCCCTTCCACTACGGAGTATGGCAAGTAGGTGTTTGCCAATGTGGCAGCACAGGTGTAGTCCCAGGCAATCTGCTTTCCATCCTTCCAGGGTAGTATGGTGGCTCCATCAGGACGTTTTTGACTTCCATCAGACCTCTGTACTTGGGGTTCTCGTTGAGCTGGGCAACGGGCTGTGGCGAGGCTTCTCTTTATATTATATATATATATATATATATATATATATATATATATAATATATATATATATATATATATATATATATATATATATATATAACAACACTGCAAATAGCCAAGGAGTCGAACCCAAGCTGCTTTGGCCCGAATCATGGTGAGCGAAAGACAGATGACGCTCTAGTCTACGGGACCACACAATTCTCAGAAATGACGCATCGAGCCAAGGTAGATGTTGCACGCGTCATCCAAGAAGATACAGTGGTTAGTTACCATTTTTACATTAACATTAACGAAAAAATATATCTTTAAATGTATAAGAGAAAATTTTAGAAAGGACTTAATTTTAAATGAGTTCTTGCTAACTGACCAGTTTTACATATTCGGCACGACATTCAACACTTTCCCCTCACTCACACATAATCACTGTTTTTGCAGAGGTGCCCAGAATACAACAGTTTAGAAGTATATACGTATAAAAATACGCAATATATCCCTCCAAACTGCCAATATCCCAAACCCCTCCTTTAGAGTGCAGGCATTGTACTTCCCATTTCCAGGACTCAAGTCCGGTTATATAAAATAACCGGTTTCCCTGAATCCCTTCACTAAATATTACCCTGCTCACACTCCAACAGCTCGTCAGGTCCTAAACACCATTTGTCTCCATTCTCTCCTATCTAACACGCTCACGCACGCTTGCTGGAAGTCCAAACCTCTCGCCCACAACACCTCCTTTACCCCCTCCCTCCAACCTTTCCGAGGACGACCCCTACCCCACCTTCCTTCCCCTGCAGATTTATACGCTCTCCATGTCATTCTACTTTGATTCATTCTCTCTAAATGACCAAACCACTTCAACAACCCCTCTACAGCCCTCTGACTAATACTTTTATTAACTCCACACCTTCTCCTAATTTCCACACTCCGAATTTTCTGCATAATATTTACACCACACATTGCTCTTAGACAGGACATCTCCACTGCCTCCAACCGCCTCCTCGCTGCAGCATTTACAACCCAAGCTTCACACCCATATAAGAGAGTTGGTACTACTATACTTTCATACATTCCCTTCTTTGCCTCCATATATTTGCCTCCACATATACCTCAATGCACCACTCACCTTTTT